TGAATTCTGTATCTCTTTGTTGCTCCCGGACACTTTTCCAGTTTCTTTGCTGAGCAGAATCTTTCTCTCTCCCTTGTGCACTTCTTGTCACAGGGTCCCCAGTTACCCCAGTTACTCCAACCACGACTTTTGTCGGCTTTCAGAAATAAAAACAACGCAATATTATTTTTTAAAAAGGTTCAAAAACAGTTGGTGAAGTCTCTATAGTTTTCAATCTTCATTCTTAAAACTTGATGCTCCAAGCCAGTCTTAGGGTAAGACGTGTACCAATAAAGTAATTGTGCCATCCAATACGTCATTTTAAGTATCTATGTCACTCACCGAACATTTTGAAATATTTCATATAAATCAAGCTTTGACTTCGTCCATATTGTCATTTGTAATCCGGGTTCATTACACCCATTTTGAAATCGCTGGTGATCCTTGCAATCTGATTAGCTCTCAGCGATGTGATTTAATCACGAATTGCACAATTTTTTTTCTGCAAATCGCATCCATTTCCCAACCAATGAGGAAGCAACACTAAAAGGGTAATTTATGCAAACTTTATAACATCTGTAGTGATTATTTGTATTTGTGTGATTAAATTGTGATATTTCAAAATCGATGTGATGTAAAGGTAATTGAACTTTGTGTCGTGTATTTTTGGTTTGCAAATATACTTGTGATTTCTTATTTTTCTTGAAGTCACTCACATTTACAGTCGTATACATTGTTAAGTTGTATTACATCTGTTGGGCTCAGTTTAGCGATTTGCCCGAACTGTAGTGTCGGATCCTTTACAGACAACATGGTTGGTCTCTTGTTTTTGGAAAACGCGTAGTTCCCATAATGCATAATACTCGAAAAGTCGTAAGAGCCACCATTGAAATCCATATCCTTTGGTTTGTAGCGGTTAAAATTATGTTCTTGCCCTAGAAAAAAATAAACGAGAAAAAGTGAATTTCCTATTTCTCTCGTCCCTTTGCACGAGCGTAAACACTATTGTCCTGTATCCTATTGGAATCTGGGAGTCTCTACTACAACTGCCTTGTATAACTACTTGGTATTGTTATTAATATTATTATTATTATTGCTACTACTATTAGTATTATCCTATCAATAGCAATTTTCGTATTGTCTGCAACACATTTCATACAGATTTTAAATCTGAGCGTTTGGTGCCACTCCAGAGAGTACAGGTAACTTCTTGTCCATAATGTTACTTTTCTCGTGATCTTTCTCCCTAGCATCGCACTGGTATTATAAAGTAGAATTACCAACAAGTCACTCCTGGGAGTGAAAGGATCAATCCAATCATAGATACATACCCTTCTGGATGTTCTCCCAGAGCACTTCAAGAAAGTCATCTCTGTCTGACCTGGACTGTTCGTGCCAGAAGCCAAGCGCGTGCAGCAACTCGTGCATAATAATCCCCTTATGGTTGCATCCTATACCGATGGACAGCTCCTGCGCTCCGGGTGAGGCATATTGACGGCCAACTGGTGAAAAGCAACTGACAGACAGGATGGAAGCGTCATGCAACCGAATGTTTTGGCTCATAACAACGTAAACAGCATTCAAACAAGCGAGTTTTCCTTCACAGATGCTCTTTTAACGAGTTTCTGTAGACAGTATACGGGGGAAACGCGACACGTTTTTGTAAAGCAAATGCGCATGCCCTAAAGTGACGTAACAGTGTTTGGCTTCTTGAGGAAGGAGTTAGTAGAAAGGACTCCCGTGCTACTCTTTGAAGAACGAAAACTTTTCTAAGAGAAGAACTGAACGGTGTTTCTGACATGATGTGTACCAGAGACCACGAAGTTTTGAAGTGTGTGTTTCAGTAGTTGAATGAGAGAGCTAGTTTCTGTATGTGGTGTGTAGCATCTAAGCTGAGATTCGTGGATTAAAGTGTTCAAAATAGTCTGGTGTCGACTGAAAGATATTTTGTTCCACTTTGCTTTCGTAAAAAACTCCACCATTGGACATTCTAATCTTGAGTTTCTGCTTCAGCAATTATCTATGACAAGTTTTGTTAATGTATACGGCAAACGAGTCGTCTTTGGTAGAACGTTTCTGAAAGTTTGCTTCTTCGGAATTCAGAAAAAATGAAAACACAGTTACGATCTTTTTTATATTTTCGTCAAAAGTCTTGCGTAATTTTCAGACTTAGGCCCAACAATGAAGCCCAAAGGCAAGACTAGGTATTAAAAAAAAATAAAAAATTACGAGTTCTATGAAACCATAGCTGGGACGGTAACTAGAACGGTAGTTTAGACAAGTTTCAACTTGAATTCAAAGCTGCATTCACAGGCATGTTCTTCTTTTAGGGGGGGGGATGATCTTAAACTGCCAGAAACGGTAAATGCATCACGCAACTGGCCAAATTTTTAGGAGAAATGAAAGCCCGTTTACGCCGGCGTTGTAGTCATGACATGTAGGACTCCTCAATTATCTATGGCACAAAATATATCTTGCTATGGACTAGGTGAATTGAGAATGACTGAGTCTCTTTCCTAATATTCTCTAATGGTCTACTTACCCGCTTTTATTAACAAAACGTATCCAGTTATCGTCATCTTTGTCCCTCATCCTGAATCGAATGCACGATTTTGACTGAATTTCGCCTAAGGCCGCCCTAATATTGTTATAACCATCTTCTGTTTGGGTTAAGAAAAAAAAGGATGTGGTTTGTGTTTTTTCAAACGAATTTCACAATCGCTTTCAGGCCAGCATTCGTCATCTCTCCTTTTAATCCTTTCCCTCCTAAAGTCTGAAACTAGATTCTCCTCGCTAATGTCCTACATCTCTTTGTTAGAAATTGTTCTCATGCGCAAACATAACAATGTCTTTTTACTGATAAAAGGGGATAATTTTCTAAAGATATTATGGTGTCATGTCGGTATTTAACGATTAAAACTGGTTCTATCAACTCAGTTCATGCTGTGAATTGTTCACTGTAAAGAGTTCTAATGCTGACTTTTGAACTTAAGCCCTTCGTCAGAGGGAATAAGTTTTGATCTGTGGGGGGGAGTAAAAACGTTATAAGTTTGTTGTTATAACTTTTATCGCCGCCAACGATTTCTCCGCTTTTACCTCATTTGGCCCGGTTCTTAAGTCATAAGTGAGGACAATTTGTGATAACTTACTTGCCGATACCGCTAGCTCAAGAGGTACCTCCTTAGTCACCCATAGATGTCGCCGGGAACTGATGGCCTTGCGCTTGGTAAGCACACTGTCTACATCAACATCTGCATTATCTTTAGAGTTCTGATTCTTGGTGTCCACGCCCGCTCTGTCACTTTTAGTCAGCTCTATGTCAGCCTCGAAAATGTTTTTGACTTTCTTATCAACGTGGTCCTCTGAGTGGATGTGGTACAAATGATATTAAACATTTTGTTTACACCAAAGCTAGATCAGAGAAACACAATCTTACCTTCGTTTGCTTCTTCGATCTGATCTAAAATCGTGTTTTTTTTTAGGCCATCAGGGTTATCTAAAATGAGGATTAAAGATGGAAAATTTAGGAGTGTAATCCTAAGCCTATAGGCCCATGCGTGAAGGAAGGTCGTGCGCGCCCTTGGGAATTTTTCGCACGTGTGAACGAAGGTTGCACACGCGTCAATAAAGGTTGCACACGTGTCAACACGCAAAGGTCGCACACATGTGAGCTGAGGTTGCGCACTTTTCAGTAGGCCCCAGTTGTTCGAAGATCGGATAACGCTATCCACTGGATAAATCTCTATCCGGTGGGGAATGCTATACTTTTGCTATTACTTATAGCGATTTATCCGTTGGATAGTTTTATCCGCCCTTCATACAACTGGACTCGGTAGTCTCGGAGAATAGGGCAGTGCGCATGCGAACAAGAGCCAATCAGCTTACCTGATAGGCTGTCAAATGGGGTAAGTTACAAACAGTCACATTCGTCGTTTCAGATGATTCACACAAATAGCTGAAAGTTGGAGCATGCGCCCCTGAGCCTAACAAGGTAACCTGTTCGGGAGAATCCTTTAATGAAAAAGCAAAAGGCAGTTTCCCTATAAACTTTCTACAAACCTACCTATAACACTTACATAATTTTAAGATCAATAGTTGTGTCGCATTATGCAAATCTATTAAAATAGACTAGAAACTTAGAGCTGAAGTTCTCTCGTTCATGAAAATCACCCGGCCTTTATTTTGAAGCGTGAAGCAAAGAATTAATCAAGTAACGGTCAATATACTGAAAGAACCTCAACCCAACTCATGTGCCACATTTAATAAAAAATTATAATATTTAAAACTTTTCGAGAAGAAATTTTTCATTCCTCTATATTTCCTTGTACGGTTTAAAAGAACTGGTACCACATGCCGACCCGGAAAATACGATGAACAAAGAATTTATTACGCTCTATCAATACGAAGAGTAATCATGTTTACCTAAACAATTTGGGCTATTTACCGTTTTCGTTAACAGCTATCTTCCATGGTTTCGGACTGGTTACCTCCAAGCAGAAAGCGAGACACAAGAAAAATAAAAACATCTCACATGGAAGGTAATCGTTGGACTGTTTCCACAGAGAATTCGTGAACTAAATCAGTGGCTGTTGTAACCTATAAGGTATGAAACGTATGGGGTGA